AGGGCCATATTGCTCCCCACTGGTGTTCTAGCCCCAGAGTGAGCTCAAATCCCCTCCCCCACTGACTCCCTCAAAGTTACCCAGGCAGGTTAAGGGGAAACACATACAGAAGATTCTGAGCCACTGGACAGGACCCCAGGCTCTGACCATGCTGCTGGGAGGAAGCAACAGACTCCCACAGCTCAAGAGGCTGATTCACTCCCGCAGGCACCTTGCTGAGTCCCCAGCTGGCTGCCCTATGACAACACCATCTGATCATCTACCACTCGAGAGTTCAGTCGCCACCACCCCAGGGAGAACTGCAGGGCTCCCCTCAAGTCCAACTCCCAGTCAGTCATGCTCCCCCAGAAACAACTGCCTCTTCTGGGGGCCCTGCCCCTTGCCTGCACATGGGATGAGCCCTGGTGCCTCCCAGCTCCACTCACACTGCAGCTGCCACACACAGTGTCCTCAAGATCTGCAACAGGCATGCAGTTGGCCAGGGGTGGTGGGGGCATTTGCCCAGCTGTGTACTTCTCTGAGGACAGAGGTCTCAAACCACTATAAATCTCAGATGTCCTCCTCCAAACAAAAGCTCACAAGGTCATCTGGTTTATTAAAACCCAGAGGCAGAGCTAGTCCAGTTAAAGCAAGTAAGGGTCGAAGTGCAACCCCTCACCCCTGGCAGCCAAGCCACGGGGGCACCTCAGCATAGCCTTAGGCTCCTGCCCCAGAGAGGTCTGAGAACTATGATCTGGGGTTCTTGCCCACTTTAAACCCCCTAGTAAGACAACCCCATCAACCCAGCTGTCCCAGACCTTTACCACCAAGACTACCCCCTCCAACCAAGCAGCTCACTATATCCACCCTGCCCCCATTTCCCCCAGCTTCTCCACAATTCTATGGAGGAAGAGCCAATATCTGACCCCCAAGGCCTGCCTGCACTTCCCAGCCAACCAGCTTCCACATGGACAATGCCCTGTGTCTCCCTAAATTCAGGAGAAGATAGCCAACCATCACAAGGACCCTCCGCTGAAAAATCCTGGAAAGCAGAGACCCTGGGGTAAACGGTTTATGAAGATTAGGGATCCTGTTGAGGGGAAGTCACGTATGGGGGGCTTGGCTGAGCAGTCTAACGCTCTCAATGACCTTCCCGCCAAGTGCTATAGATAGCTGTGAGCCATGGATTGAGCTCAGGGGCCTCTCACACACAAGGGATCCCCAGACCTCTCACTCAGTCCCAGGCTGCTCTAGGTGCCCCAAGCCTTCCCTGGACACTCATTAAGACTGGTTCTATCCTGCAGTGAATTCTGGGGCCCTTGCCTATTGCTCTGAGCTGACACCTGCCTGGGCCCCATCTCCTTTGTGGCCCTACAATTTGAAGGAAGCTCAGTTCCCTCCTGCAGCTGCCAGAAGACCTCTCCTTCCTGGGGCTCAGGGGGGTGATCTCCTCCTGTCCAAGGACTCCACCTCCTTGGACTCTGGTGGAGCAGTCTGACAAAGCTGGGGCATCTTCCACAGAAAATAACAGCCACATGGTACCCAGGCAACCCCTCACACAGAAGCTGTCCCAGATTGCTCTGCCTGGAGCCCCCTGGTGGTTTATGTGAAGAACGGCAGAGTTCTAGCCCTTATGGCTCAGCTTGCCAGGCTGCCAAGCTGGGTAAGGCTGGCCAGATCACAAAGCTGGAATCTATACATCATTCTAGAATCCCCAGAGAAACGTGACAAAGGCTTCTCTTTGGGTTCCTTATGGTGACCCAGAGGACCTTTCTGTCCCATGAGGTCAATTCTGCCCCAGTCTCAGGCACATTTGCAGCTGCCAGGACAGCAGCTACTCTCCACCTCCCTCACCCAAAGCTCTGACACCATTCACCCCTGCCCCCTGCCCCAGCCTACCAAGCCCTCCCTCCCATCCTTCTGGCAGCAGGGCTACTGGTCTCCCTTACCCCTCACCCCTCCTGAATCAGAAAGTCGATGGTTGCCGTCATTCCATCTGAAACACCTCCACAGCAGACCCAGCCTCAGATCCAGAGAGAAGGCAGAGAGGTGGAGAAAAAGAAGGGTGCGCATATGAATACACACACACGCGCGCGCACACACATACACACACAGAGGCAGCCAGCTGTCAGAGCTGGGAGAGTCAGAAGAGCCCACAGGCTCATTAGCAGCCTCTTTTCTCTGGTCCCAGGGCAGGGGGGAAGCGGGCAAGTGTGGGAGAGCGCTTTATGTTCTCTTCTCTGTTTTCCAGGCTGAGAGAGGCACAGGGCCACCCCCCCCTGTCCACTGCAGGCTCAGCCCCTTCCTTGTTTCACGTGGTATGCTCCCCAGAACATAAGATCAGGCTAAACACAGGGGCAGAGATGACCTCTGCCTAAAGAAACCAACAGAGCACCCTGGGCCATGCCTCTACTGTGGGCAGCCTGGCATCTCCCTCACTCTCCCAGCTGGTGGCTGAGTCTACAGCAGCGTGCCTCACAGACATCCCTGGAAAGCCCCTTGCTCTCTCTTGTACCCCTGGCTTCCTCATTGAAGGCAGGAAAGAGAATGGTAGCCCCCTTCCAGCCCCCACCCCAGGAGAATCAAGCCCAGAGCACAGCTGACAGGCTCCCACGGGAGGAGGAGGAAGGAGGAAGGGCTTTCATCAAAGAAGTGACGTCAAAACCAGGCAACTTGTGAAGCTGTCAGGGGCCGGGAAATTTGGACAAAGGTGTCTAAAAATAAACCCCTGAAGCCAGGAAAAGGCTTTGGTGGCTGAGCTGCTCGCCACACCACATGCCACATGTCCTGTTCTGAGGTCTAGAACCCAGAAAGTCTCTTCCCGGGGGTGCCCCTCCAATCCTGAGGTCGAAGATGGCACCAACAGGACTGGAGACACTGCCCAGCAGCCTTTCTTGGGCGAAACAGTTGAGGCCCCCTCAGGACGCACGCTGAGCGGGCCGCAGGCACCAATGTCTGCCTTCCTGCCCTTACCGCCAGCCAGCTACCCCAGCTCCTGCCTCACCCCACCCTCAGCCTCCGCCCGACTCACCCCCCGGGGAAGCACCTCCTCTTCAGCACCCTTCTGGCTGCCACCATCCAGCTCATAAAGGAACTCACCTCTATTCGCCCCGTGCCCCTGCCCTACCACAGCAACAGCTGTCCTGTTCCTTCCCTTCCTGTCCTTGACCACCAAGGCCACAGCTGGTGACCCAGTTATTCATTCCCCAGCCCTGACACCAGGCTCTTTTCACCTCCTTAACCAACACCTGTCTGAGCTCCCATTTCTACCACCGAGGCCTCATCCCTTCCCCCAGGCTGCTCTGGAGAGCCATCAGGTTTCTTCGAATCCACCAAATTCAAATTCCTGCTTTCTTCTCCTGTTTGTTTCTCAGGCGGCATCCCACTACACAGTCTACAGAACTGGTTGCCCTCCCAGCCCCTCCACAACATCCAATCCAATCCAATCCATGCACCAGTCCATCAGTTCTGCCTCCAAAATAGATGGTAAATTCCCACCTTTTCTGCATCTCTACAGCCACTGGCCCAGTCCAAGCAACCACCATTCCTGTAGAAATCCTGACAGCCTCCTAAGCACCTCCACTGGCCCAGTCCAAGCAACCACCATTCCTG